GGGTGAGCGTCCTGGGAACCCTGTGCCTCGTGGAAAACATGAGGCACGTCTGGCTCCCTTAGTGAAGGACCAGGGCTTATTTCCAGAGGCTAGGAGGGTAATGGTTTCCCCTGAGGACTTATTAACAGTCTTGGTGCAGCTGAGGTGGCTCCGGTGTTTACTCCGAAGGAAAGAGCGTGTGGTTGACTGAGTAGAGAGATGTTGAAATCTGTTTGCAATCAGATAGCTCAAGGCCCCGAGGAGTGCTGGGGGAAGGTGTGCACAGCCTCTGCTGCGGGTGAAGAAACCAGGCCTGGCAGCAAACACCTACCTGCCTGGAGCAGGCTCTTAGGGGAACACGAGGGGCTTTCTGATTCCAGGAGAGGCAGCCCATCGTCCAGTGGCAGGAAGGCTGGGCCTAAGACACATCCCTTGGTGTTTGCTTCTCTCTGGGATGAGACACACTCAAAACCTCTCCACAGAATTTGTTTCTGGAAGTCATCTTTGTGAAAAATACACTAAGAAGTCTGGTCTTTGTTCCTATGGTAACAAAGCGATTTCATAGAGCTGCTCCCTTCTAGCCTGTGTGTTTCAGGTGCAGATGGGACAAGCATGGTTCTCTAAAATCACCTGTCCCTCCGCTGCACTGTAAACAGATGTGGGCCAGAGTGACAGGAGAGAGGCAAGCTGCGTGGAATGGCAGGTGGGGAAGAAGGCGGCAAAGGGGCTCCCTCATCTGTCAGTGGGGGTCGGGACAGATGCAGGACAGACCTGTTTTTCAACCATGTTCTTAAGAGAGTTTTGTGTAGCAAGTCAGAACAAGGGCCCTGGGCTGACAGCCGCTAGCCCACCCTGGCATTATAATAACCCAAAAGGGTCAGGAGACATTGTCATCAAAATATCTGGAAACTAGTTCATTTTAATTATTTTCCAAATACACAATAAATCAGCACTTTTAGGAAGGAGATGGGGAGAGAATCCAAGTGAACAAAGGAAGAACAGAGCATCACATCTACAAACAAACGAAAGTAGAGCTATTCTGCCTGAACGACCAGAGAGGAAAGGAAGTGAAATCATTTGGTTGTTATGACACACAGATTAATTTCAAGTTTCAGTTTGTTGGGTAAGCTGTCCTAGACTTATAGTCCCTCTTAAACAAGTCCGTTGTTTAAGTGGAGTCCTTACATCCAGAGATACATGATAAGTATTTGTAGACTGAATCTGCAGTTGCCCTAGTAGAAATTTACACTGTGTTGTTGACACCAAGACAGTTTGTTGTTGTTTTTTTTTCAAAAAAATTGAAAAGACTATTCACTTAAAATTACAGATATTATTAAAATAAAATATGGCTTTAATATATGGACTGGTATCTATTTGTCCAGTAAATGGGATGGACGGCCTAGATGAGAAATCCTCTCTGGAAATGCAGGGTAGAGACTGCGGAACTGCTTCTTTTCCGTAGATAAGTTTGACAGTTGCAGATAAAAAGCTAATGGCAAGTTCTCATTTGTAACCGGTTGGGGAATGACTTTTGTCAAAAAATTGTGAAGTGGTAGCTTAGAAACTTTTTAAACCCTATTCACGTTTTGAGTAAAGCTGATCTTCTAGCAGTATAGTTTGATCATTTCCTATGAAGTCCGGTGTAAGTGGTTAGAATAGATTTGGAAATAGGCCTGCCTACCACAGGAGTCACCATTGTGTTGATGCCCCTTGTGGAAGGTCTGTCCATCGCTGCTTTGCCCCTCTGGGACGAAATAACTAGCCTTTCTGCCCGGTGGACCTGTCACCCTGTCGCACCTCAGCCCTGGCATCCCAGATTGCTTTAGGTTGTTGCTGGTTCGCAGCCTTTCTTCTACCTTCACATATTTTAGAAAGGTATTAAAGAAAATGGCTTTAAATACAGAGGGTGCCAAAAAAAAATGTATTTTAAGAAAGGAAAAAAACTGTATTAAAATTGTAATACAATGAATGACGCTAGCATTCATTTGATGACCACCATCTTTTGAGCGAGCGTCATACTACACATTGCTACCATAATTCAACTTCAAAAAGTAACACATAGATAACATCTCTTAAAATGTGTACATTTTTTTGCCCCCCCCCCCCCCCCTGTATTTAGAGCTTCACACATAGTAAAATCGGTGTGATGGGATACAGTTACACTTTCATGTCAGGGCTTGGGTAGCTGCCCTCCCCGTCATCACCTGTGAAATCCCACACTGTAGGCACGTGTCCATGGTGTACAAGAGGGCTAGGACGTCACCTTTGATGACCATAGAAATAAGATTATTGTGAATCGTGATTTTTAAAACGTGGGAACGAGCAGCCGCTGAGGTAACCTGTAAACAAAGATCCTATTTCCATATAAACAATTCTCACAGAAGCTTCCTTCTCCAAATGCCACACAGCTGCCGCTTTTTCCAAAGAATATACTTTTCCACTTGCCATGAAGTCTCAGGTTAGAGCTTTAAATATCTTACCATTCATCAGTGATGGCTGGATCCTGTAAAGTTGGCTGGTAATATTATTTGATACAAGTTACTTAGAAAAATATTAAAAGTTAAGAATGTAGGTACTAAATAATACTTCATTTTATTATCTCTGATAAATACTTACGAAACACTTTGAAATTAATGTCTACCGTGTAAAATGTAAAGAATCACCTTAGTGGTTAATTCCAGATCAAGGGTCCCCTTTGGCTCTAAATTCTGTTAAAGATATTATGGAATGACTGGCTGTGGGTATCAGATCACCAAGAAGTGTGTTTCAACATAAAGGATTATCTTAGTTTTTACATGGGCTGCATGTAAAATCTATGACTCTATTCAGCTTTTTGCTCAACTTCAATTACATCCCAAAATTTTTAATGAAGGAAATAAATAAATTTCAAATATATCATCATGACCTTGAACTAAGTCAAAGGAAGCCTACAAATTAAAAGTTGCCACAGCTAAATGACTATAAAAAGGGGAAAGTCAGCACTTTTGCATTTAATTTATTATTTTGAATAAATGTCAAAGAATATTTACATGGGGTAAGCACAATGTTAGGTGGAAAAGGCAGTCTGTAAAACTGTGCAGCACAATCCTGATTATTATCTGTTTAAAGTTGTGTTTAAGATGAGCAGGAAATTACTGTTATTTCTATATGATATTTTTAATTTTTTTATACTTAGTGAAATTTTTGCAAGTTTTCTACATGTGTTTTTATTATTAGAAAAAAATGACTTTTTAAACACAGACATAAAAAAATTAAAAGTAAGGCAAGTTATTAGAAGGGGAGAATTTTCGGTTTAACAAGACTTTTCTGTTCATCTGGTTTCTTGCACTGCTCCCCAGAATCCTTATAGTGACCAAGAAGTCTTTCCCAGGGGGATGATTATGGCAGTTGCTTTACTTGTCTGCTCACTTTCTTAGAACAAAGTGACACTGTTGAGTTTGGTACATGTTGCTTAGTCCACACTGATGACATGTGTACCCTAACCAGTCCACAGCCTCTCACCTATCCCCACCTGCAGCTTGCGATTGTGAGATGACTGCCAACACTATGGCAAAGTCTACAGCCTCAGAACAAAGCTAAATCAACGAGCTTATTCGGTGTCAAAGCCAGGACTTTGTCTACCTACGCTAAACTCAGTAACACCGCCTCCACTCCTCCCTCAGTAACTGTGCAAAGTGGTACCTGACACTTTCCCAGGAGAGGTGCTGAATCTTCCTGTTTTTTTTTTTTAATCACATTTTAACATCGCTGAAATTTGTATGGTAAATTACAATCTTACAATTTTCAGGAATTTTTCTTTTTCTTTCTTTCTGACAGAATAATAGTATATTTTATAGTTGTGGCATCAAAGAATCAAAAAAGGGTATTTATGCACATAGTAAAGGTATACAGCAAGGAAAATATAGAAAATGGGACACAAACGGCTAGAATATTGCACACTATGAACATGGTTAGTATCTTTTCTGTTCTACAGAGTATTTGCTTGCAATGAGTGGAGGTTTTTTTTGTTTTTGTTTTTAAGATTTTTATTGGGGAATTGGGGGATGGGAACAGCTCTGGGGAATTGGGGGAAGGGGAACAGACAAGTTGCTGTCCTTTTGTTCTTCAGTCTAGTTGTGGAGGACGTTGCTTCACTGGCCCAAGTTGGCACCATCATTGCGCTCTTCCCGGGCGAGGCAGATCAGTCGCCGGCTTCTGGATGGCCGCTCACGCTGGCTGCTGGCTACACACGGTAGCCCATGGCAACCCACTGCAGCAGGGGCTGCAGCCTACGCCATCACTGGCGACTCACGGCAGCCCAGCTCCAGGTTGAGCTGTTGTTCAGCATTTTAGCTGTAGAGGGCAGCGTCACTGGCCCTCATATGTGGGATCCGAACCGGGACCCTCTGACATCCCAAGCCAGCTCTTAACCAACACGCCTCTAGGCTGCCCGAGGGGAGGTTTTTTATTATCGTACTGTATTTCTAGAGTCAAGGAGTTTGAGCTTATAGTGATAATTTTATATTTTAAGCCTTAATTTAGTGCTGCCTGTATGTACAGTGAGGAAAGGGAAGAGTTGGACTTAGTCAACCATTACTTTGTATTTGAAATTATAGCTGTAAACCAAATTGTTATTCTTTAATATTAATTGAATAGCAAGACCAGGTTGCTGACTCCTCATATTATCATCCGTACTTGGCTATAAAAGGGCGGTTTCAGATGGTCTGCCTTGTGTTACTGTAAAAAAAAAAGAGAGAAAAAGGAAAAAAACACAAAACTTGTGACTGACACCCAAAATGGCTTTTGCACTGTGAATATGGATCCAAGCTTCCACTCTGGCTTGTGAGCACTCAATTGATACTTGTAAAGAAACTTATAATGAGTGCCTTCTGTCCTCAAACCCCTTTCCTAGGTTTAAAGAAAATCTCACATTAGCTTTATAAATAGGTAAGACTTGAGATTTCTCTAGCTATTTTTATTATCAATTTAAAAACTCCTCTGGCTCTATCCAGTTGCATTGGGATCGTGCATTTGCTGGTAAGCTCACAACCATGGAGTCCATAGAGGCGTGCAGGGAAGGCTCGAAAGGATGGGTTCTCTTGCTGCAGAGCTGTGCCTTTATTTAACTTACAATCCCCCTCTCTCCTATTCCTGTATCCTCAGCGAAGCTGCCGCCCATGCTGTCGCCACGCTGGCCGAAGCCACCTTGCAAGGGGGGGGACAGATCGTCCTGTCTGGGGAAACCGCAGCAGCCGTCGGAGCACTTACTGGAGTCCAAGATGCTAATGGTAAGAGAGCATAAATATTTTATTGAATTTCTTCCCTGTTTCCACTTAAACCTTCATGACATGACTGACAACAAACCCTTCAGAAAGAGCTTTGATTTGAGCTTTTCTTTATTGGTAGGCAGTTGATACCTCAGAAAATTCTAGGAGCCTCTGATTCCTTTCACTAGTAGGAGACTTGGGGTTTCCCATTAAAAAAAAAGAAAGAAAAAGAAAAGCCATGAGAATGGCTGCCTAACTGAATTGCTTACTTGGAAAGTGACTGTTTGCTATGACAGCACTGCTGAGAGGTATTTTAGAATCTGCTATGGGCCACGTTTTGTCCTTCCTCTCCCATGGGGTAGATCACTGTCCTCTGCTGTCACAGAGACTCTCCCATGGGTGGGTACATCGTGGTAGGGTGGAATGTTCTGACGATCTCGAGAAAGGCACCACCGTCACACCACAGGGCCAGCCAGCAGGCTGTGATGCATGTGCTTTTGTGGTTGGTGCTGTGGGTCCTGCTTCCTGTTAACTGTGGCCTCACCAAGGACCTCTGGGGTTTAGCCAGTGACATGCTACCACGCTGCCCTTCTTTCCCAGCTCTTGGACTTCCTGGATATTGATGATGTCCTGAATAAACGAAAGGGATAAAGTTCATAGAAATATGATGGAAAAAATTAACAACTTCAGCCCAGCTCTGGATCTATTTCAGCAGACCCTGGGATTCACTTACCATGACTGGGGCTGCCCAGGGAAGTGCCCCAGAAATGTGTGGGTGTTTATTAAACTTTAAAAATAAAGATATATACTGGGGGTGCCAGAAATATGTACACATTTTAAGAAATGTTATCTATGTATTACTTTCTGAAGTTGAATTGAATTATGTAGCAATGTGTAGTATGACGTTCACTCAAAAGATGACGTGAATCAAATGAATGCTAGCGTCATTCATTGTATTACAATTTTAATAGTTTTTTCCTTTCTTAAAATGTGTATACATTTTTTTAGCACCGTGTGTGTGTGTGTGTGTGTGTGTGTGTGTGTGTGTGTGTGAAGTGGGTCAAATGAAGTACTCTGGGTTTTTTTTTATCAATCGCCGTTGACAAACAATATTATCTTAGTTTCAGGTGTACAGCATAGTGATTAGACATTTCTATAAGGTATTTTATGGTTTTTGGAGATTTGTTGTTTAAAGTCCTGGAAAGAGGACAGATAATAACATACATTTATTTAAGCAGAAATTTCCTTAATGGCATTAGTGGCTGAAAAAGAAATGTCCCTGGCACTTTTTTTAGGGTAGTCCCTAAGAATTGAGGAAGATTGTAGTTGGAAAAGTCTCTGAAGAAAGACACAGTGTTGTCCTCCTTTGGAAGTGGAAAGAAGAAAGTACTTCTGTCCCCAGAGAAGAATAACATAGAAAATACACAGAGCACTGCGGCTTCTGAGAATAATTTTATTAAACAAACAGACAGACAAAGAACTAGCAAATACTACAGCTATAGCCTGCTTTTTCTGTAGGGCTAGGGGCTTCCATGAACTAACCCAAATACAGGTAGTTCATCTTAGCCAGAACATTGCAGGATAAAGGGCATCTCATAGCCATGTTATGTGCTAGGTGAAAAGGACTATAGATAGAATTAAGGAAATCCTCCCTTTAGCTGGAATCCTACCCCTATTTCTTACTTTTTTCTATTCCTCACCTAAATTCTAATCTACCTGGAATGAAAGGTAGGATATCTGGCTGTGTGAAATTCTTCTGCAGTGCAATTGCTGTTATTCACTACAGAACTGCTAAAAATACTACTCTGTGTGGGTTTAATAGGAGACCTTGTTATCCCTTCTAATGGTCTTGACCTGACTGGGCAAGGAGAACAGACTGCTTTATAGTTCTGGCCTCCTCCCCAGCCTCACCTTTCAGGTGGATGAATTTGTAGGTTAAGTGTAAGGACTCTCTGGGTCTCTGGCCAAGTAGACATGTTCAGCCATCTGAGAAAGCTGAACCACACCCACCACTGTTGATGCCTGGAAGCTGCCTCTGTTCAGTAGCTTTGGGTTGTGTGAATCAGTTGGATTGATTTCATGTTGTTGGCTGCATTTGTGATAAAATTCTGGTCTCCATCCTAAAAGCCAGTGGTTCCCCTAAGCGGGCCGCCCCCAGTTTGTGACTGTTCACACGTGCTGAACTCAGACTTGAGGGTTGGAGTTACCACCTCTCAGCTTTTCCATATCACCTGAGACCATGGAGTTGTGCCTTATCCCAGCAATTTTAAGTGAAGACTGATCATTTCATTTGTACCTTGGAAATCGTAAGAATTAATCTAATACTGGATATGATCCAAACAATTCTTTTTTTTTTTAATTTTTTTTTTAATATATTATTAGTTTCAGGTTCCAAATAATTCTGATGTTACTTCTGTCTTCTAACATTTTTACCCATTTACTCTGGAAGTAGAACCAGATTTTTCCCATCTAACCAGCTCATTGGTATCTAGCTAGACTTTTAGGGGTTCTCTTTTCGTCTTTCTTTCAGATTATGTCATATTATCAACGTTTGTCACTTCTGTGATGACAGCTTTTGGAGTCTGCCAGTAAACCAAGTTTATTATCAGGAAGAACCAGATGATAACAGAACAAGTTGCTATTTAGAAACAGACACTACTGGGGGGAAAAAAATATCTCAGATTCCAGAGTAGGATTTAAATAAAAATCCTAATAGCAGATGACTCTTCTAAGAGCAATTTGGATATTGTTCAGTCCTGAGACAGTTTCAGCATCTTCTGTGATGGTCTAGAAGGGATGGAGGACCACTGTGTGTGGAGCTTGAAAGAGTGCAGTAGTAACCAGGGAGAGATGTCTGGGGCAGGGTGAGGGTACAGAAGCAGTAAGTATCCTGGACGACAGTGGTTTTCAAGTGAAAGATCATGACCGATGCGTGGCAGAAGTTTAAATTCCAGGTCACCAAGGCAGACCTGATAGAGGCCTTGAGCCCTGAAGACTTCCCCGGTTTTCTGGACCCTACCCCACCCCAACACTAAAGGGACTACTCAAGCACTAGCATTACTTTATTTCATTTGTTTCCCCTTTTTAATTGGATAGGAGCATAATTAACTCTTTTTGTGTTGTGGGGAGAGGGGAAGGCCATTTGGTAGGCAATAAGTTGTATCTCATTTTAATTTCCATCTTTTTTATATTAGTGGTAGATAGTTTCACTTTTTCCTTCACGTTTTTATCTACACATGTATATTTTAGTATTTGTTTACTTGTGTAAACACCCATTTTTCTTTTGGAGTCTTTCTCTTTCTCTTACTGATTTGGAAAAACTCTTCATCTATTGATGATATAACCTCTTTATATGTGTTGCAAATCATTTTTCCCAGTTTGTTTTTATTTTACTTCCGTTACTTTCATTTTTATTTCTTTGATTATTTCTGTTTTATCTTTATGTTTCCATAGGCCCCACATCAGATCAATACTAGATGCCAGATTTTCTGTCATCTCATTTTTTATTTTAAATACTATAAAAGATCTGGAATTTATTGTAGTATATGGCATTAGGTAGGGATCTGAATTGATATTACTTTCCCCCTACATAATCTAATTATTTCAGCACAGTTTATTCCATAAAAAGATGGCAACCCATCCTTCCTAAACTGATTTGAAATGTCATTTTTACCAAATGTAGAATTCTTAAATAGACTGTATAGGGTCTTATATGGGGCGCTTCTATTTCCATTCATCTATTTGTTCTGTTCTTTATACTGTAATTTTTTTATTGTGGTATTATTAGCCATTTGTGAAAGGCCTATCTCCAAACTGAGAAAGATTCGATCAAAATTCCAAAAGATTTCTTGGGGGAGTTTAATTTTAAAGTTTATCCAGAAGAATAAGCCTTATTTTGGCATTTTTTTAAAAATCGCACCAAGCCTTTTAACAGAACTGCTAATAAGATATAAAATTAACTAATATAAATTTTCTCCTCCCATGCCCTAGGTCTCCCTGGGTTAGGGAACATGTAGTCTTTGGTTATACAACGACTGTGGTACTGAACCCTATCCTGTGGTGTGACTTTCTGATAAAACTGTCCTGGGAGCATTTATTTTTGGTTTAATGATAGAGACTATACTAAAAAATGATGATGTAGAAATTGTATTTAAGTCGAATGGGTTAGGGGATTGGGTGACGCATGATCCTGGGGATTCTGGCTTCTGGGGAGCGTTCGTCATCACAGATGGACCAGGGTGGAAAGCAAGTGCTCTTACTGCCGCCTCAGTGAATCTGATAATGCGACATTGGTGCTCATTGTTTTCAGAC